TGATCTCATGATGATTTGCTGTGATATGTTGGTGATTGCTGTCATTTCTCTGTTTTTATTTGGAATATTGGATTCTCTGTTATTGTTGCTGGATTTTGGTAGCTGGTTTTTACTCTCATCTTATGATGACAAAAAGGGGAAAAAATGGATGCTATGTATAAGGGGGAGTTATTCTGAATTCATAAGTTTAGATGCATTGTGCGAGGGGGAGCTTATGCTTATTTGCTCAATTTTTTTTCTTTCATCCATCTATTGTTTTGTCATCATCAAAAAGGGGCAGAATGTTGACCTTGGTCCTTAGCTTTTGATGATTACAAAACAAATGGATATTGCTAACATCTCCTCAAAGGCTTTTTCAGAAATGAAACATATCAGGTTCAAAGATTAATTATATTTGAAAAAGTCAGAGTATGCTGAACCTGTCGGACGCTCAAGAAGATAGTAACGGACGTCCTATAATCATTGCACAACTTTGGACGCATGTTTCGGACGTCCGATAAGATCCTTCGAAGTCGACAAAACTATCGGACGTTGAATATGTCTCTACCGGACGTCCGATAGAAACAAGATAATTTCTCAAATCTTTTTGTTTGCTGTCGGACGCATAAAAAGCTTGCACCGCTCGTCCAAAAGAATTGAAGAAAATCTCTTAAACTCACTGCCTGCTGTCGGACGCATAAAACAGTGCTATCGGACGTCCGACACTCCAACGGCTAGTTGACTCTTCAGCTACTTTCTATCCGTTGAAAGCATTAATGAGGCACTTTCTTGATCCTATATGAATAGTGGATGGTTAGATACTTCAATAAACTTTTGCACACTGAAAATACAAAAGATTTAGAGTGATTTTAGTAAGAAAATACTCTTCAAAGAAGATTTGTAGTGTTAGTGGTGTGAGGTTCATTATAAGCTTTTCATTTGTGAGTGAATACTTCATGAGTGTAGCTCTGTAAGGGTTGTCCTGAGAGATAGTAAAACGTCCTGGCTTGACCGAGTGGAGTTCGGGGCAAGAAGGAGGTGAACCTTCCTTTGTACACAAGAGTTATTGTAATTCATCAACTTGAAGTAGCTTGTTTGAATTAACCTACAATCTCAAGAGGAGTTAGGTAGTTAATTGGTTTGTTATTCTTTCCTTCTTATTTACTTATTGTTACGTTTGAAATCTGTACTTTGTTTATCTCTTCTACTCACAAGCACTTGTGCTTTCTCATCAACTGCTCCATTGTGTGGTCGCCTAGAAAAGAAGATTGTTTTCGGGCCTAAAAATTGGTATCAGAGCTTGGTCTCCTAGAGATTAAGCTCAATCGGCTTTGGAGTAAAGATGACAACCAACAATGCAATATTTTTTGAAGGACATTCTGTCATTAGACCACCTATGTTTAATGGGTCAAATTATGTGAGTTGGAAAGAAAGAATGATTATTTTTTGCAATCTATTGATATTGAATTATTGTGGCGGCCCCACTTCCCCCTAAGGCGAACCAAAGGGTTGGCGGGTCGCCTGCCTAGCTCTCGCCAGGACTCACTCACTCTAGCAACTAATATCACCAAACATAAATTGAAAATAAAACCTTACTCCTCGAGCAAGTTAAGTACTTAAATAAATCATACAATTCAACTTATACAACCCGAAAATACAATTCCAAGTACCAACGAAAACATCGAGTTTAAAATACTTAATTTACAATTTAAAGTTCCTAATCCAGGGCACAGAAGCACCACAGGATTCACATTTTCCCAAAGGCACAAGAAAATCATCCAAAAGATATTAAAGTATCTCCCAAGTGCAATTACAAAAGTGGGCATTCAAAATATCACATTTCTTTTCTAGTTCTTCAAAACTTCATGCATTTCAGAACCTGTCAAGGAAATCAAATTGGAAGGGATGAGCCAACAGCTCAGTGGTGCCTCGTAACATGCAATTCACATAGGGCAATTTAACAAGTACAAATGGACAAGCAAGCAATTAACAATTTAGGAAAACGAAATAACATGACAAGAAAAGGATACGGGGCTCTCAGGAGCCAAAGTCCTTGCGCTCGATCAGGTAATTTATAGTAGTTGACACTCCGTCAACTTTCACTACCTAATCTCCATGTAGACATTTTCCCTAATCTACACGTCTCCTAGCAACGACTTCCCCCTTATTTTCGGGCCCGACTCCAGCACGAATTTTCCAAGCACTTTTACCAAGACGGCAGAGAGGTACCTCCCACTCTAATAGAGCGTGGTACGTACATCCGTTTGGTTTATTTAGTCGACGAGACCACGCTCCAATCGACCTTGCAACACTCGTACTTGTGGCATTTCACGCAATCACATAGCATATAATATTTCATGATATCTCTAGCAAGTACTTTTAACAAGTAGTTCAACTAGCAGTTAAACACAATTCACGCAAGAGACACTCACCTTAAGTGAAGTGTCTAGAATTCCAAACTTTGATCGAGATTGTGCCCTTCACCAACTCCTAAAAACATACAAATAATTCACGTAAATTTCTACTTTTGAGTTGGCGAGTTTACTCAAGCCTTCTAGCATTTAATTTCACTCAAAAATCCCAAACTAGTATTAATCGTTTTTCTCAAAGTGAAATCCACAAATAGGTTTCTTTAAAACCCAAAAACTTGCTAAATTCGTCAAATATTCCAACATCCGAGTTCTAGAATCACATAAGCCATTTAACACCAATTTTGTGTCACAAGTTGAGAAAAATCACATTTTAACAATTTAGAGGAAATTTCCCCTCAAATTTTTCCCAAACATATCTTGGGAAATTCCTTTAAGAGGCAATCATATAAACCAAGTAAAACTAGTCATTAGAATTTCTATAAAATAGAAACTCCTTAAGTTTGCCAAATTCCATGACCAACTTAGTCCAATGATTTTCATGAAGGTAAAAACTTGAGTTTTTAGAAAAATTTCCAGATTTGACAAATTCCTCAAAATAGGGCATTTGGTCTAATAAAATTCAAGGTTATCAACTCAAAGTAGACCTAGTAACATCGGTTAATGCTAGAAAACATTTTCGGGGCAACTTTGGTCCACATTTAATCAAAATGAAATCCAAACGTCAAAATCATTTCTAATTTCAAACAAAATTTCTGTTTTGGTAGCCTCGTGAAGAATAACATTTTGGCCCACTTTTGAACGTAAACTTTACTAGATTTTGTCCCCAAATGGAGCTATACACACCCCTTAACTAAACACAAGTCAAATTGGGTTCATGTTAACGTGAAAATCATTCAACATGTCTCATGCAAAGCTGGAAAAATTTTCAAGTGCATTTGGTACAAGCAGTCCATTTTGTCTTCAATTTGTCCAAAATTTTTCAACTACTCAAAGGCTACATTTTTACCCAAACAATACTTCACATATAGGTTAACATGTTTACAGCTCAAATGGTTCAAAAACTTGTCAAAACCAAACCCCAAATTCGCCCAAAAATCTGGAAATTTCCAGAATTTTTCAGACAACTCAAGGGCATTTTTCTCTTTGATTTTTCAATGAAATTTCCTATTGTACCAAAGCTGCATTTTCACCAAAACTACTCTACACATATAGGTGAACATATACATGATTTAAATGGCTCAATAACTTCACAAAATCCAGCTCAAAATTTCGGGTAAAAATGGAAGAAAAACAGGCCTGCTGGTTCGGTTGCAGAGCAGAATTTTTCTCTTCTTTTTGATCAACCATTTCCAACTTATAATTCATACTTTAAGTCCCTAACAATCACCACTAACTAGTCTAGCCCCCAAACAAACAATCCAGTTCATTACCTAAGCGAAATTTGCAAAACACCAACAAGTACAAATCTGGAAAATTTTCCTTTCTCTCGGCAGCACCCCAGCTTCATTCTAAAAACATTTTCCCAACATTTAACCACCACAAAACACACATATAAACACATAAAACACCTCTAGCTTCATCAATCATTAGCTTAGAGGATCAGCAACCCAACATGTTTCACCAATACAAGCTAAAACTTCAAGAACCAAAAGCTGCAACAAATCTGAAATTTTGGCTAAGGGGGTGAAGCGGAAGTTTTTGGGTTACCTTTGGTGGTTGTTTACTAGCTAAATGAAGTGCCTAGTTCCCCAAGTTTGCTCCTAGAATCACTGAGGTCAGTCGGCACCCCTTGCACTCTGTTTTTCTCCCGGTCAGACCTCCCACAGCAGCAACCCAGCAGCAAACGTTAAGGTGAAGAGAAGCTTGGTCTGGGGTTTTGAGTTAGCTTGGAAGGTTCTGTGGTTGGAGGAAAGAAAAATGGCAACTGGTTTCTCCTTCTCCCCTGGTCTGATGCAACGCCGGCAGCAGCCGCAGCGATCTTCCTCCTCCTTGCTTGGTCGAGACAGCAGCCAAGAATGGAGGTGGAAGCTGGAAATGGAAGCTTGAAGGTTGTGGTGTGAATGGCTGAGGATGGAAGGCTGTTAGAAGCTTGGAATGGCAGCGGTCTCTGCTTCTTCTTGCACCAGAGGAATGAGCTTGAAGAGAAGAGAAACGGCTGGTAGTTGGTGATAAGATGGGTTGAAAATGAAGGTAAGCTAGAGTATAGGTTTGAAGACTTTTTGGGCATGCCATTAATGGTGGAAAAATTTTGAATTGAATCGCGTTTACGCGCGAGAATTTTATCTACTGGTAGAAATTCCTCATCTAGCATTTTCTCAACTGAATTATACATTTTTATAACCTCTACATATCATACAGTTCAACTTAGAGCTATATTGCGTATGGGAGTGCGAAAATTCAACTTAATGTTTAGCCGAACGCGAACCGTCAAATAAATTTTAAAAATTCATGTAAATTAAAATATAACATTTATATAAGTGAAAACATCATTAATAATATAAATACACATTTTTAAATATAAATTCATATTATTTAATAATTTTCAAAGTTTAAATAATATTTATTTTAATTTTCAGAAATTAATGAAATTTTGAGATCCTCACATCCTTCCCCCCTTAAAAGAATTTTGTCCTCAAAATTCTTACCTGTTCAAGCAAATAACTCTGGGTATTGATCCTTCATGTCCTTCTCTACCTCCCAAGTTGCCTCCTCGACGTCGTGATTTCTCCACAAGATTTTGATTAAAGCAATCTTCTTATTTCTCAATTCTTTAATTTCTCGGTCCAAAATCTTAACTGGTCGCTTCTCATAAGTCAAAGACTCGTCTACTTCAACGTCATCTAATAGAATCACATGACTTGGGTCGGGATGATATTTCTTGAGCATAGATACGTGGAAGACATTATGAATCCTGCTCATGCTAGAAGGTAAATCCAGCTGATAAGCCACTTTTCCAACTCGTTTAAGAACTTCAAAGGGTCCAATGTACCTCGGCTTTAATTTCTTTCCCTTTTTGGATATTACCCCTCCTTTCATAGGTTTTACTCTTAGAAAGACTTTATCTCCTACTTCAAATTCTAAGTCTTTTCTTCGGTGATCTGCGTAACTCTTTTGCCGACTTTGAGCAGTTTGAAGTCTCTCCTTAACCAGTTTAACTTTCTCATAAGCTTCTTCGATCCATGGGATAGCTGTCGGATCTAAAACTTTCTTCTCTCCTACTTCATCCCAATGAATAGGGGATCGACACCTTCTACCATAAAGCGCCTCATACGGTGCCATTTGGATTGAAGCCTGATAACTGTTATTATAAGCAAACTCTGCCAACGTCATGTACTGGCTCCAACTCCCTCCGAAATCTAATATACAGGATCTTAACATGTCCTCTAGGGTTTGTATGGTCCTCTCCGACTGTCCATCTGTTTGTGGATGATACGCAGTGCTCAACTTCAACTTAGTTCCCAACGTTTCCTGAAATTTCTGCCAAAAGCGGGAAACGAATCTAGGGTCTCGATCGGAGACTATACTTACAGGAATCCCATGCAATCTCATAATTTCTTCTGTGTACAACTTGGCTAATTTCTCTAAAGAGTAACTCATATTCACCGGTAAGAAATGTGCAGATTTAGTAAGCCTATCCACTATCACCCAAACCGCATCATGTCCCCTTTGACTTCTAGGTAATCCCGTCACAAAATCCATGGTAATATGCTCCCATTTCCACTCAGGGATTTCTAAAGGTTGTAACAAACCAGAAGGCTTTTGATGTTCTGCCTTAACCTGCTGACATACTAGGCAAGTCTGTACAAATTTCGCCACATCCCTTTTTAAGCCATCCCACCAATAAAGCCCTTTCACATCTTGATACATCTTGTTAACTCCAGGGTGAATAGTATACTTGGACCGATGTGACTCTTCTAGAATTTCTCTTTTCAAACTTTCTTCACTAGGTACTACTATTCGATCCCTAAATCTCAAAATGCCTTCAGGTCCTAGCTTAAAATCTAGGGTTTCCCCCTTTCTCACTTTCTCCAAATAACCTTGTACTACCGGATCCTTCCCTTGAGCCTCCTTAATTCTTTCTAACAAAGGGGATTTTAAGGATAGATTTCCAAATAAGATTTTCAACTTTTCTAAACGAGGATTCCAACCACTCGCTTCTTCTAACATATCCCATTCTCTCACCATTAGACCCGCTACTTGAGTCCTTCTACTTAGTGCATCTGCAACCACATTTGCTTTCCCAGGGTGATAATTGATTGAACAATCATAATCCTCAAGAAATTCTACCCAACGCCTCTGTCGCAAGTTCAACTCCTTTTGTGAAAACAAGTACTTAAGGCTCTTATGGTCGGTGAATACCTCAAATGTCACCCCATACAAGTAATGTCTCCACTTCTTCAAAGCAAAAATAACAGCGGCTAACTCTAGATCATGGGTCGGATAATTCATCTCATGGGGTTTCAATTTCCTAGAAGCATAGGCCACAACTTTTCCCTTTTGCATTAAAACACAGCCTAACCCTTCTTTAGAAGCATCGGAATATACTACATACCCATCAACTCCCTCAGGTAGGGCTAACACTGGAGCCGTAGTCAATCGCCTCTTCAATTCTTGAAAGCTCGCTTCACATTTAGGGCTCCAAATGAACTTATGGTTTTTCTTAGTTAACTCCGTCATTGGCCCAGCAATTTTTGAGAAATCTTTTATAAAACGACGGTAATATCCTGCCAATCCCAAGAAACTTCTAATTTCAGTTGGATTCTCTGGTTGTTTCCACAAAGTAACTGCCTCCACTTTAGTTGGATCCACTGCAATTCCATTCTTAGAAATTCTATGACCCAGAAAAGAAATTTCGTCCAGCCAAAATTCACACTTACTGAACTTAGCGTAAAGCTTGTGTTCCCTCAACACTTGTAAAACTATCTCCAAGTGCTTGGCGTGATCGTCTCGGGTCTTAGAATATACTAGAATATCATCTATGAATACCACCACAATTTGGTCCAGATATTTCTTAAAGATTCTCTGCATTAGATCCATGAAAGCAGCTGGGGCATTGGTTAACCCAAAAGGCATTACCGCAAACTCAAAGTGCCCATATCTAGAATTAAAAGCAGTCTTAGGTATGTCTTCCTTTTTAATCCTCAATTGATAGTACCCTTGTCTCAAATCTAACTTAGAGTACACCACCGATCCTTGCAATTGATCAAATAATCCATCAATCAAGGGCAAAGGGTACTTATTCTTAATAGTCACCTCATTCAAACCTCGATAGTCAATGCACAATCTCAAACTCCCGTCCTTTTTCTTTACAAACAAAACTGGAGCTCCCCACGGTGAGTCACTTTCCTTAATAAAACCTCTTTCTAGTAGGTCCTGCAACTGGAGCTTTAGTTCTTTCAACTCCGCAGGAGCCATTCTATAAGGAGTCTTCGAAATTGGGGCTACTCCTGGAACCAAGTCAATCTTAAACTCTATCTCCCTTTCAGGTGGCAAAGATGTTAATTCTTCCGGGAAGACATCGGGAAAATCTCGCACGATTGGCACATCTTCTAATTTCACTTGGTCATTAGGGGCGTTAATTAAGAAAGCTAAGAAACCCTGAGCTCCCTTGTGAAGCATTTTCCTAGCTCGAATCCCTGAAATCAAAGCAGACGAAGCTAATCTACCCCTTATATCTAACTTGAGAGTTGCCTCACCTGGGATGCAAAATTCCACCACTTTAGATCTACAATCTAGCTTAGCATGGTGGGAAGACAAAAAGTCCATTCCTATAATCACATCATACCCTTTAAGGTCCAAACTCACCAAGTCAACTAGCATTTTTCGCTCCCCAACCCAAAATTCACACTCCTTATACACTAAACTAGTGAGCATGCTCTTATTACCCGTAGGAGTCCTAACTTCCAAATCATAGGGTAATCGTACAGGTTTTACATCAATTCCACACATAAAAGCAGGATTAACAAACGAATGAGTCGCACCGGGATCAATTAAAACCTTAGCTAATCGATGAAAGATTGGAAGTGTACCTTCGACTACCTCCGAAGGGTCAGGTGTAGGTTGACTATCTAGGGCATAAACCCTGGCCGGGACCTTTGGCCGACTCCCTCCAGAAGCAGTTTGTCTAGAACTTGTGGCACCTCCTTGGCTTCCCCCATTCTCGGAAATCCTAGGACAATTGGCAATTTGGTGCTCAGCACTTCCACACTTGAGGCACTTGCCATCCTTTCTCCAGCACTCATTTGCAGTATGATTGGCTTTTCCACAGTAACCACAGGTTATCTGAGGGGTTGACACTTGTACACCTTGTGGAGCACTCCTAGGGGGCCCCCTTCCACTTTGACCTCCTCTCACTCCAGATCCTCTCGCCCCAGGGCCTCTAGCTCCAGCACCCCTTGCTAAAGCACCTCTCGATGCACTAGGGTTATTCACTACCCCAGTTCCTCTACCCATCTTAGGCGGTGGGGCACTTGTAGAAATTGGGTCCCTGCTACCACTAGGGGCATTCCTTTTCCTAGCAAAGAATGACCTAGATTGGGCTCTAGCCGTCTCAAACCTCTGAGCTTTCTCTACGGCATCACTATACGTGTTAATTTGAGCAGTGGCTAGTCCCTCTTGAATCTCCACATTGAGCTCTTGCACAAATCTTCTAATGCGTCTCTGCTCAGTGGCTATCAGGTCAGGGGCATATCGGGCTAATTTAGTAAAGTTGGTTTCATACTCTGCTACACTCATGGCCCCTTGTTTGCACTTAATAAAGTCATCCTCCCTTTTCTCTTGGACTAGAGGTGGAAGAAATTTGGCATTAAACTCACGGGTGAAGTTTGCCCAAGTACTAGGGGTACGGTCTCTATCCCACTTATCCTTAATTAGATTCCACCAAGACCGTGCAGCTCCTTCAAATTGAAATGACGCAAAAGTCACTTTCCGCGTCTCAGTGTAATCCAATGTGGCAAAAATATCAGATATTCTCTCCCACCATCCCTCAGCTATTTCAGGCTCTGGCCCACCTTGAAACTTAGGCGGCCCAAACTTTAGGAACCTCTCCAAAGCCCTATCTTCAGCATCTAACTGCCCACCAGGTTGTTGATGCACTGGTCCAGGACCTTGACGGTCTGTCAAACGTTCTAGCACTTCGGTTATCCTATTAATAGCGGTGGCCATTTGATCTCCGCCCCCGCCCTCGGGTCCCCGATTTTGGTTCACTTCCGACGCTCTATCGCCCCCTTGATCACGAAGGGGTTCAGCCCGTCTCCCTCGACCTCGACCTCGACTTCGGCGTTGACCTCTACCACGGGGATCCATACCTAGTTATGCCTAATGCAAAACAAGAAGTAAGTATACAAAAATTTACGCAAAGTTTAAAGAGCAACGCAGGAAAATTGCATAAAATTGAGGAACAAAGCAGAAAATTATGCCAAATGAAGATCAACTTGAGGGCGATAAAAATAACCACAACTAACACATATATTAACATTCGAAATTCCTACAATTAGCATTTCGTTGGGATTTTACAAAAATATAGCACAAAGGTGCTACAAGGTGCAACCAGTCATTCATAATCAAAAGAAGTGCAATCACCACAAAAGCAAGCCATACAGTTACAAAAATACAATGGCCCAAGAGTTAGCACCATCCCAACCAATGTTTACAAATTACAAGTCAAAAGAGAGTCTAACTAAGCCTAGTCCTCAGCGGGACCATCAGATGGATTCCCCTCATCAGGATCCTCTTCTGGATCCTCCTCTGGATCCTCCTCCGGATCCTCCTCCGGGTCCTCCTCCGGATCCTCCTCAGCACTAGGAGCTACCTCTGAGGCCTCGTCCATCACCTCATCCACCAGCATGGTAGCATCCGCTAGTATCCCAAAAGCTCGCTCACGAACCATGTCTCTCATCCTAGCCACGCTATCCCTTGCTCTCTGCAGCTCCTCACGGTCTGCCTCAGCCCTAGCTCTCTCCTCTAACACCCTTCCAGTCAGCTCTGTTACCCTATTCTGCAGATGAGTCACCATGGCACCTAACTCATCCACGTCCTGAATCAGGGCCAGATTGGAATTCACCAACTGGCGACGCTCATCGTCTATAGCCAGAACCAAGGTGTTGGGGTAAGAAAAGGTCAACCTACAGTCACACCTAGGAACCCTGGTGTCGGGCGAGTACTGACCACGAGCTCCACCACCCTGAACTTGGTAAAATATAGGCCTAAGAGGTGGCGCGTGACCATTCACGTGCCCGTTACCATTAGCAGCATGTCCGTTTCCATTAGGGTTCTCCATACCTACAAAACAGCCAAAACTTTCAAAGTTAAACCTTAGCACCATTAACTTGATCAATTATCACTTAAAATATATCTAAGTATCTCATTCCTTTTTCTAGGAATAAAATACCTAACAATTCTCCCAAATACGTTCTAACCTAAGGCTCTGATACCACCTGTGACAGTTCTCAGGGTCACATCACGGGGTACCTATCAGCTTGCCACCCGCACGCGGGCATCCCCTACGGAGAGTTTCGCTTCGTGACTCTTCACGAACGAGAGGCTCGGGGCTTTTCCAGACGAAGGACTTAAAGTCCCAACTGTCGGCATATGGCTCTGATACCACCTGTGGCGGCCCCACTTCCCCCTAAGGCGAACCAAAGGGTTGGCGGGTCGCCTGCCTAGCTCTCGCCAGGACTCACTCACTCTAGCAACTAATATCACCAAACATAAATTGAAAATAAAACCTTACTCCTCGAGCAAGTTAAGTACTTAAATAAATCATACAATTCAACTTATACAACCCGAAAATACAATTCCAAGTACCAACGAAAACATCGAGTTTAAAATACTTAATTTACAATTTAAAGTTCCTAATCCAGGGCACAGAAGCACCACAGGATTCACATTTTCCCAAAGGCACAAGAAAATCATCCAAAAGATATTAAAGTATCTCCCAAGTGCAATTACAAAAGTGGGCATTCAAAATATCACATTTCTTTTCTAGTTCTTCAAAACTTCATGCATTTCAGAACCTGTCAAGGAAATCAAATTGGAAGGGATGAGCCAACAGCTCAGTGGTGCCTCGTAACATGCAATTCACATAGGGCAATTTAACAAGTACAAATGGACAAGCAAGCAATTAACAATTTAGGAAAACGAAATAATATAACAAGAAAAGGATACGGGGCTCTCAGGAGCCAAAGTCCTTGCGCTCGATCAGGTAATTTATAGTAGTTGACACTCCGTCAACTTTCACTACCTAATCTCCATGTAGACATTTTCCCTAATCTACACGTCTCCTAGCAACGACTTCCCCCTTATTTTCGGGCCCGACTCCAGCACGAATTTTCCAAGCACTTTTACCAAGACGGCAGAGAGGTACCTCCCACTCTAATAGAGCGTGGTACGTACATCCGTTTGGTTTATTTAGTCGACGAGACCACGCTCCAATCGACCTTGTAACACTCGTACTTGTGGCATTTCACGCAATCACATAGCATATAATATTTCATGATATCTCTAGCAAGTACTTTTAACAAGTAGTTCAACTAGCAGTTAAACACAATTCACGCAAGAGACACTTACCTTAAGTGAAGTGTCTAGAATTCCAAACTTTGACCGAGATTGTGCCCTTCACCAACTCCTAAAAACATACAAATAATTCACGTAAATTTCTACTTTTGAGTTGGCGAGTTTACTCAAGCCTTCTAGCATTTAATTTCACTCAAAAATCCCAAACTAGTATTAATCGTTTTTCTCAAAGTGAAATCCACAAATAGGTTTCTTTAAAACCCAAAAACTTGCTAAATTCGTCAAATATTCCAACATCCGAGTTATAGAATCACATAAGCCATTTAACACCAATTTTGTGTCACAAGTTGAGAAAAATCACATTTTAACAATTTAGAGGAAATTTCCCCTCAAATTTTTCCCAAACATATCTTGGGAAATTCCTTTAAGAGGCAATCATATAAACCAAGTAAAACTAGTCATTAGAATTTCTATAAAATAGAAACTCCTTAAGTTTGCCAAATTCCATGACCAACTTAGTCCAATGATTTTCATGAAGGTAAAAACTTGAGTTTTTAGAAAAATTTCCAGATTTGACAAATTCCTCAAAATAGGGCATTTGGTCTAATAAAATTCAAGGTTATCAACTCAAAGTAGACCTAGTAACATCGGTTAATGCTAGAAAACATTTTCGGGGCAACTTTGGTCCACATTTAATCAAAATGAAATCCAAACGTCAAAATCATTTCTAATTTCAAACAAAATTTCTGTTTTGGTAGCCTCGTGAAGAATAACATTTTGGCCCACTTTTGAACGTAAACTTTACTAGATTTTGTCCCCAAATGGAGCTATACACACCCCTTAACTAAACACAAGTCAAATTGGGTTCATGTTAACGTGAAAATCATTCAACATGTCTCATGCAAAGCTGGAAAAATTTTCAAGTGCATTTGGTACAAGCAGTCCATTTTGTCTTCAATTTGTCCAAAATTTTTCAACTACTCAAAGGCTACATTTTTACCCAAACAATACTTCACATATAGGTTAACATGTTTACAGCTCAAATGGTTCAAAAACTTGTCAAAACCAAACCCCAAATTCGCCCAAAAATCTGGAAATTTCCAGAATTTTTCAGACAACTCAAGGGCATTTTTCTCTTTGATTTTTCAATGAAATTTCCTATTGTACCAAAGCTGCATTTTCACCAAAACTACTCTACACATATAGGTGAACATATACATGATTTAAATGGCTCAATAACTTCACAAAATCCAGCTCAAAATTTCGGGTAAAAATGGAAGAAAAACAGGCCTGCTGGTTCGGTTGCAGAGCAGAATTTTTCTCTTCTTTTTGATCAACCATTTCCAACTTATAATTCATACTTTAAGTCCCTAACAATCACCACTAACTAGTCTAGCCCCCAAACAAACAATCCAGTTCATTACCTAAGCGAAATTTGCAAAACACCAACAAGTACAAATCTGGAAAATTTTCCTTTCTCTCGGCAGCACCCCAGCTTCATTCTAAAAACATTTTCCCAACATTTAACCACCACAAAACACACATATAAACACATAAAACACCTCTAGCTTCATCAATCATTAGCTTAGAGGATCAGCAACCCAACATGTTTCACCAATACAAGCTAAAACTTCAAGAACCAAAAGCTGCAACAAATCTGAAATTTTGGCTAAGGGGGTGAAGCGGAAGTTTTTGGGTTACCTTTGGTGGTTGTTTACTAGCTAAATGAAGTGCCTAGTTCCCCAAGTTTGCTCCTAGAATCACTGAGGTCAGTCGGCACCCCTTGCACTCTGTTTTTCTCCCGGTCAGACCTCCCACAGCAGCAACCCAGCAGCAAACGTTAAGGTGAAGAGAAGCTTGGTCTGGCGTTTTGAGTTAGCTTGGAAGGTTCTGTGGTTGGAGGAAAGAAAAATGGCAACTGGTTTCTCCTTCTCCCCTGGTCTGATGCAACGCCGGCAGCAGCCGCAGCGATCTTCCTCCTCCTTGCTTGGTCGAGACAGCAGCCAAGAATGGAGGTGGAAGCTGGAAATGGAAGCTTGAAGGTTGTGGTGTGAATGGCTGAGGATGGAAGGCTGTTAGAAGCTTGGAATGGCAGCGGTCTCTGCTTCTTCTTGCACCAGAGGAACGAGCTTGAAGAGAAGAGAAACGGCTGGTAGTTGGTGATAAGATGGGTTGAAAATGAAGGTAAGCTAGAGTATAGGTTTGAAGACTTTTTGGGCATGCCATTAATGGTGGAAAAATTTTGAATTGAATCGCGTTTACGCGCGAGAATTTTATCTACTGGTAGAAATTCCTCATCTAGCATTTTCTCAACTGAATTATACATTTTTATAACCTCTACATATCATACAGTTCAACTTAGAGCTATATTGCGTATGGGAGTGCGAAAATTCAACTTAATGTTTAGCCGAACGCGAACCGTCAAATAAATTTTAAAAATTCATGTAAATTAAAATATAACATTCATATAAGTGAAAACATCATTAATAATATAAATACACATTTTTAAATATAAATTCATATTATTTAATAATTTTCAAAGTTTAAATAATATTTATTTTAATTTTCAGAAATTAATGAAATTTTGAGATCCTCACAATTATGATTTATTATTAGTGAAGGTCCATATGATACATCTCTTATAGATGAAAATACTCATAGATCTAGATCAAAAACAAGAAGTGAACCGACTGTTGTGGATAGAGCTCATCTCAGCTTAAATGTAAAAGCCATGAATGTGTTATATTGTGCATTAGACTCAAATGAATCTATTAGAGTCAAGGGTTGCAATTCAGCTAAAGAAATTTGGGATAAACTGAGAGAAATTCATGAAGGTAGTGAGAATGTTTGAGAACAAAAGAACTCCATTCTAGTTACAAAGTATGAATCCTTCAAGATGCAACCTCATAAAAATATTGATGAGATGTATTGTAGATTCAATGACCTTATTAAGGATTTGGAGGTGTTGGAAAATGAATATTCTCTAGGTGAGAAAAAGAGAAAAATTCTGAATGCTTTATCGAAGGATTGGGAGAGTAAAATAACTACCATTGAAGAAGCCAAAGATCTAAATACCTTACCTATTGAATCTCTCATTAACTCTTTAATTTCTTATGAGCTGAAACTCATGTTCAAGGCGCAGGAGGAAAAAGATACAAAGGTGAGAAAGAATATTGGTCTAAAAGTCTCACAAGATGAAGATGATACAGCCTCCTTAGATGGAGATGACATAGAAGGTGATGACAATGATATTACACTCATCACAAGAAGCTTCAAACGAATACTCAACAAGAGGAGATTCAGAAAAGGTGGACCTAGCAATTCATTCCCAAATCAGTTCAACAACTCAAGAAACAAAGGGAAGCTAGAGTTCAACAAAAAATAAACTGATAAGTGCTTTGAATGCGGCCAACCTGGTCACTATGCAAGTGAATGTCCAGTGATGAAGAAGAAAGAAGGAAGAAAATCAAGAGTCAACAACTTTCAATTCACATGGAATGCGTGCAACTCCGATGGTGAAATTGAAGAGGAAGAAGAATCTGCTCAATTGACTTTTATGGCCATTGGAGATGATGAGGTAACAACTTGTAACTCTCAATTTAAAAGTGATGATGAAACTGATGATAATCTTGAATCTTTCATTATAAAATTGCATGATAGTTTGAAAGAATCCTATGCTAGAAATAAGGAGTTAAAACAGAAAATTAGTTTTTTATTTCAAGATAATGCAAATCTTTTTCAACAAAATAAAAAGTTGAAAGCTGA